GCCCAGGAAGATAGAGCAGGCATTTCCTACAGCTCATTCCAGGAAGCAAGAAGCCCAGGGGCAGCCGTTCTCTACCCAGAGCGACTTTGGCAGTGTCTCAAGACATCTTTACTTGCCATACTATGTGTGTGTGTGTGTGTGTGTGTGTGTGTGTTGGGGATTCTATTCACATCTACTGGGTTGAGACCAGAGATGCTTCTAAACATCCTACAATGCACAGGACAGGCTCCCCGAATGCCAACAGTGCCACAGTTGAGGACCCTCGACCTGGAGGGAGTGGCCCATCCTGTCTACCTTTCATCTACACAACTCATATCCCACGTGGAAACACTCGTTGCTCTGCCTGTGTAGACATGGGCCTTGTTCCCTGGGGTCAGAGGGGATGGAGTCCTGGGAGGTGGGGCGAGAGAGGCCTGGGTGAGTTGGGTCTGGCTGCCAATCATGGGGTGGATCCTGTTCCCCTGGTTGTCCCCTCCTTCTTTCTCTGCTTGGGGAACAGGACATTTCCAGGGTGGGAAGGCTCCGGGGCGATTTCTCCAGGGCCATCCAAGAGCTGACATGCTGCCGGGACCCCAAGCCAGCTCTCCCAGGTCCCTTGGAGGAGTCCTGGCCACTGACTTGGGCGAACCTCAATCAAGACTTTTCCTTTTGACTTCGGCTCAGGGAGAACAAGAGGAAAGCAAGCTGGCCTGCCGTCTTGCCGGCTGGCCTCCCCACCGCTGCCCTCCTCCCCTTCCTTTCCCGGTGTCCTGCTCCACCTTCCTCCGGTGGGGGTCTCCCCAGTGCCTTTGACCTTCTTGATGTGTCTTGCCTGCCCCAAGCTGAACGTCATCCTCCCCCTGGAAACCTAGATGCCCACATGCACGGTTCCCTCCAGTTCCTCTCCCACTTTGGTGTCCCCAGAACAGCTCAGGGTCCCCACCCTGCAGAGCCTGGCCCCAGGGTGGCCTTGCCACTGCACTTGTCGACACAGCAGTGCGCTCATAGGAGCTGCTGCAGGACTCTGGGCGCAGTGGCTATAAACATGAAATATGTGGATCAATGTTTATACTATTAAATGGTGTGTGTGACTCAGGAAGCCAGAGCGTGAACATTCGTCACAGGGAGTGACCAGGGGCTGGCTGAAGGGGCGTGGGTTTTTTCTTCCATCTTTGTGAATTACACAATTCTCCTCCTCCAGCTCTTCAGCTTGGATAGAGAAGCTGAAGGATCTGTGTTCACCCGGGTGTAGACCCACACACGCATTCCTCCTCATCTTTATTCTGGTCAGGCTGATGTGATTCCAGAGATGCAGGCTGCCGAGGCAAAGAGATCTTAAGAATGGAAATCCAAGGACCTGGGTTCAGATTCTGACCTGGCCAATCACTGCTAGCCTTGTTCATTGGGGCAGGTTACAGTTCCTCCTTTCTATAAAGAATAGCAATAATGATCTGACGCCCTCAGGATGCAAAGTGAATGAAGTACCATCTGTTACAAGGGCACATACTAGGTGCTCAGCTAATGATACCAAAGGAAGCTCCCTTTGCCGTCTCAGTGATCAAGGGTCTCCAGGGCCTCTCAGCCCTATCACTGGTGGCTCAGCAAACAAACAACATGGGGGAACACTGCAGTGTCCTTTCCTTTCCTAAAAAGTGGACACCATCATGTTTGTTGGTAAATGTACATTCCCAGATGTGGGAAAGCTTGTACATCTTTATCCTCAATATCAACCCACATCAGTTCTTGCTGTGTGCCTTGGAGAATGGTTGACTCTCTCCCGAGGTGGACACTGGCTGTCCTTCCAGAAGATTCTTCAAGTGAGGAATCTGCAACCCATCTTGTCTCTGTCACCTTGCCCTCACCGGGTGCTTTGCTGGTTACCCTCACCCTGGACAGGTGTGGTGGATGATCTGGGTCTGGACAGCTGACCTTCCAGGCTCTGCTGCAGTTCCTGCCCTGTCATGGGCCTGGGAGTGGGGAGGCAGGTGCCCAGGGCGGCAGACCATGGAGAAGCGTGGATCGTGCCCACCCTGAGTGCCAGACTTGTACCAGAACCATGTCCAGCTTCTCCATGTCCTTGGCAATCTGAGTTGGAAAGGCATATAGTAGTCACTCAGTTAATGGTAGCTCATAGCCATTACCTCGGGGTCAGCCACTCCAGCTGATGGGGTTCCTGACCCAAGGCCGGCTTGGCTTTCCAGTATTGCTAAACAGAGTTTCCTGCAGGCCCAGGCTAAGCTCTTGCTGTTCCCAAACATGAGAAGGACTCTGTTTTCCTCCGCCAGGCAAGGAGGCAGAGTCCTTGGATTCAGGAGAGGAGGATAGCAGCGAACACTCCCCAGAAGTTTTTTCAGCCCTTTACAAGAGTTCCTGGGGAGCTGGGAAACTCTCCAAGGCAGGCACGTCCCTGGGCAAAGCTCCAGCCACCTCTCCATTCACCCCCACCTGCTCCACTGCTACTCTGGGTACATTGGCCCTGCAGTGTGACCACAGGGGACCTTGTCTTATAAGGCTGACAGGATCCTAAGGGCCATCTGGTCAACCCTCAAGGGATAGAGGTGGAAATTGAGGACCAGCGAGGGGATGTGGCTTCACAGCACCGACACTGGCTAAGAGTTGGGGGCAGTGCTGGCATGACAGTCTCCTGGGCCCAGAACCATCTCCGTGGGGCCACAGCCCGAGACACACCTGCCTCCCCGCCAGCGGTCCCAGGCCCTTCCCATCGGCTGTTTCGTATTTTTAAAGCACATCTCAGCTCGGAGCTTTGCTATAATAAATAGCTAATAATCATTTCAGACTCTATTACTTGCCTCACAAAATAGTGCCTGGAAATGGTGCTTTTTAAATTGTGGGCTGGGACACAAAGACTCAGAAAAGGCCGTCAGATCTCAAGTGCCATTGACTGTGGTCCAGAGAGGAAGCAGAGGGCTGGCCTTCCGACTCACCACCACCACTGAGTTCTCATTCCAGCTGCGCAGATGTCGGTGCTGGGTTAGCTTGCCAAGCTGGCCCCTCCCTTCACAAAGGCTGCCGAGATGGGGAGGAGGGCCCAGGGAGAGCTCCCCAGGCCACCTAGCCAAACCTGTGCCTGTGCACAGACACACGTGTCCAGTCTGGGAGTTGGCTCCGATTTTTAATGTTAACAGCAAGTTAATAGTCCCCAAAATGGTTCCCAGGTAAGAGGCACCAGCAGGAAGGCAGAAGATAATAATCACATCGATGCCACCATTTACAAATTGCTCTCCTGTCCTTTATTTCCACTGTTTTTTGCAACCTGGATGTTTCAATGCCTGTTTCACAGATGAGGATTCCAGGGCCCGGAGACCTCAGAGCATCCACTGAAGTTCAAACACCTGCAACCGTCGGGTCTCAAGTGTTGGCTCCATGAGAATGTACAGGCTAAAGGCAGCAGATTCAGGAACCCCATTTTGGTGTCAGATTCAAACCCTGATTTTAGCACTTAGTAGCTATGAGACTTCATAGAGTTATTTTGTTTGATCTGTTTTTCTCACCTGCAAAATGGGTATTGCATTGATGATAATAGATGAATGTGTGGTGGAAGAACTATGCACAATAACAGGGATGCTCTGCAAGTAGCAGGTGTGAATGCTCTGTGAGTAACAGGTGTGAATGCTCTGCGAGTAACAAGTGTGAATGCTCTGCATGTAACAGATGTGAATGCTCTGTGAGTAACAGGTGTTTTAAGTAACAGGTGTGAATGGCCTGCAAGTAACTGGTATAAACGCTCTGCAAGTAACAGGTGTGAATTCTCTGCATGTAACAGGTATTAAAAGTAACAGGTGTGAGTGCTCTGCAAGTAACAGGTATGAATGCTCTGCAAATACAGGTGTGAACACTCTGCAAGTAACAGGTGTTGTAAGTAACAGGTGTGAATGGTCTACAAATAACAGGTGTTATAAGTTACAGGTGTGAACATTGCAAGTAACAGGTGTGAATGGCCTGCGAGTAACAGGTGCGAGTGCTCTGCGAGTAACAGGTGTGAATGGTCTGCAAGTACAGGTGGAACACTCTGCAAGTAACAGGTGTGAATGGTCTGCCAGTAACAGGTGTTGCAAGTAGCATGTGTGAAAACTCTGAACAATAGCTAGTCTATTACAGGCATCTGCAAGTGTTGGCTCCCAGGCTGGTCAGCTTATGTGATTCCTGTTCCCCTGCCTGTAGTCCCAGCTAAATGAACATCCCCTCTCCTTGCTTGGAGTCAACTATTCTGTCACTGGGTGAGCAGTTGGACAACCTTTTGGTCTCAGAACTTCTCAATGCCGTGAAACATTACTGAGGCTCCAAAGAGCTTTTATTTATTTGAGTTACATCAACTTTTATCTACTGAGAAATCTTTAGGCTATTTTCTTATTTTTAAATCATGGCAAATCTATTGCATCATAATCAAATGATATTTTTATGAAAAATAACCTGTATTTTACAAAATAAATTTGCAAGGAGAGCAGACTTGCTGAAGCTCCTCAATGTCTGGCTCCATTAGGGGACAGCTGGGTTCCCGTGTCTATTTCTGCGTGCAATCTGCTGTGATATCACATGTCAGGCGCCCTCTGGAATATGCCACTGCACACTCACGAGAGAGGACAGGAAAAAGGTGATTAACGTCTTGGAATTATTATAAAAGTAATTTTGACCTCCACCTCCCTGAGGCCCCAGACCACGATCGGAGACCTGTCGCATAAGGACAAACACTGGCACCCTCTGTCTCAAGGCAGCCTGGCTTTGGCACATTTCTGTGACCATATCTGAAAAACTGAGATTGACTGAGAAGACAGAAACATCCAGTACTTCTTAGATTTCTCTCTCTTGGGGCTTTGACTCACAGACCTAATATTGATTCACTGAGGTTTGGCTACTTCTTTGTTAAGCTATCAATAGTTGCTAACTTCTTCAATTGCATCCACCATTGGTCTTAGACTTCGAGACTGTTGATTGATTGATTATACCATATGTTGTGTCATTGAGGGCACATTTGAATTTAAGAAACAGAAGCAAACACGGAATGATTTTTAATAATAAGTATATTTATTATCTCACATAACAAGAAGTCCCAAGGCCAAGTGGTGATAGGGCTGGCTACTTCCTTAACAATAATCATCAATGATTCACATTCTTTCCAATTTTTTTTTCTTTTTTCAGGCTTATACTATCTGCCTTGTCTCACGTTCACAAGATGGCTGCAGCAGTTCCCGTCATCACGTGCAGACACAGCAACACCATCACCTGATAAATCATTGTTTCTTTTGAGTCTCCTCATATTAGTGGGAAACATTTCCCTAGTGGACTTTTTTCTCTAATGTTATTGACCAGAATGTATTACATGCTGTGTTAGTTTCCTAGGGCTAATCACATGCCTTATTCATTTCCCAGGGTGGCCATAACAAAGTAGCACAAGATCAACAGAATTTATTGCCTCACAGTCTGAAGGCTAGAAGTCTGACATGGAGACTTCCGCCGGGCTGTGCTCCCTCAGGATTGTGCAGGGGAGGGACCTCTCTTGCCTCCTCTATCTTCACAGCCCGCTGTTTCCTGCCTCATGGCAGCGAAGCTCCAGCCTTCGTATCAGCTTTTTCTCTGACCCTGTGTGTGTCTGTGTCTGTGCCTCTGTCTCCCCTTCTTATAAGGACAGCAGTGACATTGATCTGGGCCCACACCAATGACGACATGGTAACTGATGAGACCAGGCTGCGTGCACAGGTACTGGGGTCAGGCCTTGCGTGATTTTGGGGGGTGGGCTCCACCCAGCCACAGCAGCTGCCCTTTCCTGAGTCCTCAGGAGGGGAGATGAAGTCACGGCAGCTGGCCTCCGTGGGGTGGAGCAGTGGGGGCAGAACAGCCTCTGTGTGGTCGAGGGGTGGGACGTGTGGGGAGGAGTCTTTGGAAATCTACCGTCTGGGACCTTCTAAGCAGCCAGTCCCTTGGGGGCAGAAATGTCACACACCCCCTAATGCAGGAGCCAGCAGTGCCCCATGGGGAACCGCTGGGCACTGTCCAAGTGCATGGGGCACCAGCTGCACCCAGGGCCCCTGGGAGGAGGGTGGGCACAAGCCGAGGCACAAAGTGAGGGGCAGAGTCGGCCAGGCCACCAGCAGTGGAGCTGATGTGGTGCTGTCACTCCGAAAGCCCAGGACCCAGAGCTCACAGCACATCGCTGTCACCTTCGTCTTGGGGAGTCTCCTGGTGGGCGAGGAGACTGGGGTGGAAGGAAGGCCTTCCTGGTGCTCTCCCCTCCACCCACGCCACCTGGGCCCCCAGCGGAGGGGACGCAGTGGATCTGGAAGGAGCCGGTAAAAGAAAAGGCAGAGAGATTCAGGAATGGTTTTAAAACGAAGCCACTCTGCCACCTTTTTTTTTTTTTTCTTTAATTTTCTTTTTTCAGTCGTTTGGCTACGTGTATTTTATTTACCAAATTGGGAAACGGCATGTATTTAAAACCTGGCATTTCACTTCTAGGAGAGGGACAGCTATTGTTCTGATTATAAAACAGAGAGAAGGCAGGAGATATAAATAAAAAATTTCCAATTCCTGTTCCCCCGTGACAACGATTGTTACCATTGTGCCGGAGCAGTCCAGATCCTCACCCGCCTGAGCACTCCGGAGCTGTGCATCGGAGATTAGACATAGACACCGTCTTCTTTTTTTCCTTTTTTGTTACCAGGGACTGAACTCAGGGACACTCAACCACCGAGTCACATCCCAGCCCTATTGTTTATTTTATTACAGACAGGGTCTCACTGAGTTGCTTAAGGCCCCACTAAATTGCTGAGGCTGGCTTTGAATTTGCAATCCTCCTGCCTCAGCCTCCCAAACCGCTGGGATGACAGGTGTGCGCCACCGTCCCCGGCCCACACAGAGTTTTTTACACTGGTCAGTCAGTCATCTTTAAATCCTACAGAAAAAGACAATATAAGGAGAGACTTAATGGCACATTACTTCTGTTGCTAGACCTTCATAATTAAAAAAGCATAATCAGAATTTGAGTGACCAGTTACGAGAAGCCATAGGGCCTCTGTACTTGGGGCAGAGAGGACTGGATGGAAACACGGGGTCTCATGGCGTCTTGTGGCCCTTAAGGAAATGTAGAGAAGATTCAGCCCAGGTGAAGAGGCCACTGCTAGGAGCGTCCAGTTTCTTCCCTCCCCTAGTGACATGGGGACAGTGGTCATGCTGTCCAAGGTTTCTGCAGCTCTGAGTCCAGTGCTCCTCTCCCCAGCTGAGGGCTGCCATCATTCAGTGACATGACAGGGAGCCAGCCCACAGCCTGGTCCTCCCTTCTGAAGGCCACTGGCCATTTCCTGGCCATGTTCCTCCCCTCCTGAGTGGGGCAGCACTAGGATTCAGGGCCTGCCCAGGTGTGTGTGTGTGTGAGTGTGTGTGGCTGTCCCAGCCCCTTCTGCCCAGCCCTCAAGGACAGGGCTACTGGATCCAGTGAGGACAACTGCTTCAGCTGCAGCTGCTACCAGCTCCACGTCCACCCCCATGTCCCAGCCTCCTGCTCCCCTCCTCCGGCTCATCCACCTCACTCACCCCGCTGCTGCTCTTCCGGTCTCCTTGCAGATCTCCTGCTCGCCCTCCATGCCCAGTCTCTCCTCCGTGCAGCCTGCATCCCCTTCCTTCCTGTGAGATGGGAGAGGTTAAGTGGAGACACGCGTGCCCTGTCTGTTGCAATAGAGACACAGCAACTCTCTCCCCTAATCAATCTGTCAGGCATGATTAGGCTGCTGCGGGGCTCAGGCGTGTCTCAGCCCAGCCAGCCCAAACCGCCTGACAGCTTCCGGCCAAAGCACATGGACGCACACACCACATAAACAGACATGCATGCACACACACAGACCCATGCACGCACGTGCATACACACAGACACACACAGAGACACACAGGCACACGTGCATAGGCAAACGTGCTCAGAGACACATACACAAATACACATACATACACACGCTTGAACACAAAAACAGACACACATGCACACACAGAGACACGCACCCACACACAGGCCTACACACATTAATATGCATGCTCACAGACACACAGAGAAGCACAAACCAACAAAGACACACACAGGCTTACTCCCACACAATCTGCCTAGACAGAGTCTGGGGCCTCACTGATGTACTTGGAGAAAACTGTTTCAACAGAGAGGGCCAGCACTTGGCCCTCCCTGAGTGACTCCTTCATTTATCCCATGTGTTACTCAGCTTTTTGTCACTATGTCCAAAATAACTGACAAGAGCAATTTGGAGGGGAAAAGTATATTTGAGGCTCACAGTGGCAGAGGTTCAGCCCATGGTCAGCTGGCTCCATTGCTCTGGGTCTGAGGGGAGGTGGAGCATTGTGACAGGAGGGTGACTCATGGTACCAGGAAGGAGAGAGAGAGAGAGAGAGAGAGAGGAGAACCAAGGACAAAATATGTAACTCCCAAGCCCCTCCCCCACCCACTTCCTCCAGCCATGCCCCCCTCATGCAGTGACCACCCAGTCACCCATTCAAAGGATGAATCCACTGATCCGTTACCTCTGTCACAATCTAATCATTTCACCTTCTTTGTTAACACAGGAACTTTGGGGGGAAATCTCATATCCAAACCAAAATATTCCACCCTGGACCGCGGAAGCTCATGTCCACCTCACAATGCAAAATGCATTTAGTCCATCTCCAATAGTCCCTGTAGTCTTCAGAGTCTGACCACTGCCCCAAAGTCCAAGTCCAAAGTCTCCTCTGAGACTCAAGGGAGAGTGTCAGCTCCTGTAAAGATCCACAGAAGTTATACACCTCCAATATTTAACGGCATCGAGCAAACATTTCCTTTCCAAAAGGGAAGATGAGGAGCATAGGAAGAAGGTATGGGAGCAAAGACCAGGTCAAACGCCAGCTGGGCAAACAAATCCTCCAGCTCCATGTCCAGCATCTGGGCATGCGATGACAAGATGAGAGCTCCAGAGGGGCTTAGGCAGTCCCAGTCCTCTGGCCCTGCTGGTTACTGCCCATCTGGCCTCTCTCTTAGGCTGGCTCTGTGCACAGCCAGCAGTATTCCTTGGCAGATCTTCCATGTTACTGTAATACCTTAATCTGGAGGGGGGTCTCCAAGTACATTTTTGGCCTCCTTCTCACGGCTTCATGCATTGCCCTCTCAGGTGCTTGCTGCAGGGATTTCAACCCTGTTACACTTTGCCTGGCCTCCCTTGGAAATCTTGCTAGAAACCTCCATGACACCAGTGTCCTGCAGAACCAGCACCCTGAGGATGGTACCAAGTTCTGCTCCAGCTCAAACAGTAGCTGGACTGCATTGAACCATGGCTGCAGTGACCTCTGAGTGTCTGGGTAGCTACACAGGGTGAAATAAATCCTGGGGAAACAGCTTTTTAGGCACCCCTGTGCAAACTCTGTGCCCTCTTAAATGAGCCTACATTTAATACATGTGTGCTCTTGCCAATTCCTGAGACGCCTCAAGGCATCTTTTCTATTGTCTCTGTGCAAATTACTTAGCTTCACTTTATTGGTGGTAATCTCTTCGGCAATCACACTTCCTTGGCCCCAATAGTATGCACTTCTTCTCTAGCCAAGCTGCTTTTTCAAATCTTTCCTCTCTGCTTTTTGCTTCCAATTCTCAAAGTAAACCTGGCTAAAAGCTGCCAGCAATGCCCATTCCACCACCTGAATGCTGCGCATCCTTGAAATTTCTTTCCCGAGATTAATTAGTCCATTGCCTTTAAGTTCAGCCTCACTGACATTCTTAGGATATGTGCAAAATGTAGACAACTTTTATGCTAGAAGATAACAGGAATGGCTTCTAGTCTGATTTCCAATAGAGAACCTATCTTCCTCTGAAATCTCATAAGCACAGTCTTTACTTTCCACATTTATTTCAGCATTCTGGTCTTCTAAGAATTGCCCATTAATCTCTGCTTACAACATTCCAAGCCTTTTCTTATCCGCATCTTTAAACTACTGAACTTGTCCTGCAAACCAGTTACAAAGGCTCCTGAATCACGTTCGTGTTAGTCTGGGAAACAATTCCACTCCTGGTACCAATCTCTGAGGTGAGCAGCTGTCCTCCGCCATGCCCTTCTACCATGATGCTCTGACTCATCTTGGGCCTTCTGCAATTGAGTTGGGTGACCATGGACTGAATCTCTCAAACTGTGAGCCCAAATAAATTTTTCCTCTCTAAGTTGTTCTCGTCGGGTATTTTAGTCACAGTGGCGAAAAGCTAACAAACACATTCTACAGGCATTTGCAGAACCACCCCTGCATGACAGATCCTGTTCCTGGAGCTGTAAAGCATTGGGGAATGAGACAGGCTACCACGATTGCCCTCAAAGGCCTGCAGGCTAGCAGGGACCACACACCACTATGGGCACACTCATGAACCAGGAAAGGCTATAGTATGAATCGGAAAGGAAAAGGGGGTGCAGGATCAGGGAATGGGATGGTGAAGGGAACTAGGCAGCTTATAGGAAGTGACTTAAATCCTCTTATCCTAGGGATTGCTCACTATTGGCAGCACGTGGCCTGGGTTCAAGTACATCTTCCCCTAATGGGACTCTGTGTGTGACTCTGGGCAACTCAGTGTCCTTGTGCCTCAATTTCCTCATCAGTAAAATGAAGCTGAAAACTAGTTAGGCCTCATTGTCAGGAGTGGTGACTGAATTATGTTAGGTCCTGAACTGTCCTGGGACAGAGGTGATCCCCCTCTGGAGAAATCTAGGTGCAAAGGTGCCAATCAAGATAGCTCAGTTGCTACGGTGATGCCCTGTTCAATAGGAGATTGTGTGCCAGCCACGGAGCTATTCAGTTCCTCGAAGTTCCGAAGCCAGCTGCTCGGGGGTAGAAAGTTATGGGCACAAATTGACAATCATAATTGGGCTGCTCATACTCATGACCTTGGTTCTGCTTGCTTCGAAGAACCTTTCTCACAATGAATCCTTTTGGTGTTTAGACTTATATTTTAAAAAATGGGCCAAACGTGCTGGTGGTCAGTCTTCCCTCAGAGGTCGGCTTTTTCTCTATTTGCGTGTCTGTTTGTCTTCTCTCAATCCCCTCACCGCCCGGTTTGGCAACCTGAATAAACGGCCGTGCAGGTTGCAGCACCTCATGTAATTCAAGTTACACTTACTTGATGTGGTGAGAGAAAATGAGTTACTATACACTGTTCAGAATAGGCTTAGGATATGAAAGTGCACATGAGGGTTTATCCCCCGTATCCATTAAGCTAAGGAAATGTCTGCAGAAGACGGGGACCACCTGGAGGACTGAGCATCAGCCTGAGGTGACGGGAATAGACAGGATCTCTCCCCACAGAGGGACCCGAGGACAGGGACACAGAACAGCTGGCCAGAGGCGGTGCATGGAGGAGGTCAGGGAGGTTCGACCCTGCGAGAAGGAAGGCATGGAGAGGCAAGAGCCAGAGCCAGAAACATGTCTTCCCACTTCTGATTTGGGTCAGACCAGGCCTCCAGGCAGCATTGAATTTCTTCCTCCAGGAGCTACGGGTACCTGAGCCTCCTTTACACATCAGCAACACAGTGTGCATCGATGCAGCACCTCCGCGAGGGCTGAGTGTGTCCAGCTTACACTCAGAGGTCCTGAAGTTCCCTCCTCTCCTCCTCCTGCAGCCCCTCCATCGCAGAGACCCCTAAATGTGGCCAATGCCATGGCCAGTAAATTCCCTCAGCTTGGACACCTATCAATAAATCAAGTGGAAAGTGACCCAACCGAATGAGGACATCCCCATGAACACTGGGCTTTCTGCTCCCTGACCACTGAGGTCAGGATCGAACCTCCACACCGCCCATCCCCCCCCAGGGAGTCCCCAGCCTGGAGGCTTAATGCTCAGAGCCATGACATTGGCGGAAAGGGGAGATGTGGCCTTGTTCCTCAGGGAGCCCCAGTCTGAAGAGACACATGGCACTATGCTCAGGGAGCCGCGGCTCAGGGGAGATTAAACACCAAAGCAAACACACAGCAGCAGCACAGGACGATTCTGTTGGAGAAGAGGGTGAGGAACAGTGGGTAGGAGACCCACCCCAGGAGGAGAGCGCTAACATTGCTCCTTGGATATGGGGACAGGCAGGACCGGGGGACCCCTCCCAGATGCATCCTGACCCTGGGGCCACAGCAGAGCCCTCCGCTGCCTTCCCTCTTGCACTGAGGCTCACCTGCCCACAGCGGCTCTCGTCCATGGAGTTCTGGGAGTTGCAGTCCTTCCGCTCCCAGGAGCTGCCCGGTTCTCTGAGGTAAGGTGGGCAGGAGCGCCATCCTCATCGAAAAGGAGGGGAAACTGAGGCCCTAGAAGCAAAGGGGGTTTCCCACTCTCCAGAGCTGATGGGACCAGAGCGGGACTTGGGGCCTGGATCGCGTGCACAGGATTCCCGGATGCCCTTCCCCTCCACCACCTGCTTCCTCTTGTCCCAAGTGGAGAGGCTCCCAGTGCCTGCCTCATGGAGGCGACGCAAGACTCAAATGCTTAACGAGAGTTAAACGACCCTAAGCTTCCCAGTGCCTTGTGGGCCCTCAGTTGCAGCCACCACTCCTGCTTGTCCTTCTGTTTCTTTTGGGTCTCTTCCAAAGCAGACCCTGAGACCCATATTTGGATCTGAACCGTTTACTTTGGAACTGAGCCCTAGAAGCACCAGTAGAGAGTGGGAAATATCGCGGGAGGGGAAGGAGGCCGCGAGTATTGTGTTAATGTGCAGCTGCCACTGTGGAGAGGGGGTCTCCACCCTAGTGTGGACCTCCTGGCCACTGCATAGAACGGGCCTCAGGAGTGTCCTCTCTGGGTGATGAAGCGGGAATCTGTGCACTTTGAACACCTGGTTGTAGGGGGCTGCCTGGGGCTTGGGCCAGAAGAAGGGCCCTAGCTGAGGCCCAGGTTCTCCCAGCAGAGGGCACAGCATGGCCTGGGAGAAGGCTGACACACCTGTGGGGTACACCTCTGTCCTCAGGAAATGCCATGCTCCTTATTG